AAAAAAAAAAAGATTCTTTGTGTTATTTTGTTCTAGCAACTTTATTGATATAGCATACAACTCACCCCTTTAAGATGTACAATGTTTTTTATCATATTCACAAAGTTATACAACATATCATATTCCTCACTCCATAAAGAAAACCTGTACCTGTTAGGGGGGGCCACTCTGCATTTTCCCTCAGTTCCTCCAGTCCTAGGTGACCACTACTCTCCTTTTTGTCTCTGTAGATTTGCCTGTTTTGGACATTTTGTATAATTGGGATCATACACTATCTTGCCTTTTGTTTGTTTTTTTGTTTGAGACAGAGTCTCAAGCTGTCGCCCTGGGTAGAATGCCGTGGCATCACAGCCCACAGCAACTTCCATATCTTCTTGCCTCAGTTTTTTTATTTTTTTAGTAGAGACTGGGTCTCACTTTTTGCTCAGTCTCGTCTCGAACTGGTGAGCTCAAGCAATCCACCCGCCTTAGCTTCCCGGAGTGCTGGGATTACAGGTATGAGCCACCTGGCCTAGCATCATCTCTTGCCTTTTGTGATTGGTTAGAATTACAGGTGTGATTACAGGATTACAGCCACCTCGCCTGGCGTCATGTCTCCCCTTTTGTGATTGGTTAGGATTATAGGCATGAGCCACCTTGCCTGGCATCATGTCTCGCCTTTTGTGATTGGTTAGGATTACAGGCCTGAGCCACCTTGCCTAGTGTCATGTCTCACCTTCTGTGATTGGTTAGGATTACAGGTGTGAGCCACCTCACCTGGCATCGTGTCTCCCCTTTTGTGATTGGTTAGGATTACAGGTGTGAGCCACCTCACCTGGCATCGTGTCTCCCCTCTTGTGATCGGCTTCTTTCACTTAGCCTGATGCTTTTAAGGTTCATTCAGCTTGTTGGCAGCATGTGTTCATTCCTCTTTATGGCCAAATAATATTCCACTGTATGAATATGTCATGTTTTGTATATCTCTTCACCAGTTAATGTTGCAGAGGGAATGGCCTGAAAAAAACAAGGGAAAAAGTGTTTCCTGCTAGCTAGGCATTGTGGTGGGTGCCTGTAGTCCCACAAGAAGATTGCTTAAGCCCAAGAGTTTGAGGCTACTGGGAGCTATAACACCATGGCACTCTACCTAGGGTGACAGAGTGAGACTCTGTCTCAAAAAGATACATGAATATTTTTTCTGTCTCCTTGACTTTTTGGGAACTAAAACCTATATCCCTGCCTCAGGCCAGTGGTCAAGAGGGACTGGGAAAGTCTCTTTTTTCCACATTGGATAGTTTAAAGGAATAGCCTGGGTGGAGGTCACAAGATCTACTTGGCTCAGATGGAATTGGTGTAGGTCATGAGATCTTAGGTGAAGATGAGATCAATGTGGGCAGCACCTGTGGCTCAAAGGAGTAGGGCACAGGCCCCATATGCCGGAGGTGGCAGGTTCAAACCCAGCGCTGGCCAAAAACTTCAAAAAACAACAACAACAAAAAGATGAGATCAATCTGGATAGGGGTCACAAGACCTTGCAGAAACTGTGACATTGTCTTGGCCCAAGATGGGATTTTGGGATCAGAACCTTTAAAAGCTCTGTGCTTGAGGCTGGGTGTGGTAGCTCAGGCCTGTAATGCTAGCACTCTGGGAGACCAAGGTGGGTGGATTGCTTGCTCAGGAGTTCAAGACCAACCTAAGCAAAAGTGAGACCCCCATCTTTAAAAATAGCCAGGCATTGTCATGGCCACCTGTAGTCCCAGCTATCAGGGAGGCTGAGGCAAGAGGATTGCTTGAGCCCAAGAGTTTGTGGTTGTTGTGAGCAATGAAACTACCGCACTCCCAAGAGTGACAGAGTGAGACTCTGTCTCAAAAAAAAAAAAAAAAAAAGAAAGAAAGAAAGAAAAGCTCTATACATCTGCTCAGAAGCAGGAATTTGGATTTTGAGACCATTATCAGCCATTTTCCTCTTTTGACCACAAAGTAATAAACTTCTTGTTTCTTCTTCCCAAGCTGCTTGTCCCTCTTTTTCTGATGAGGCTTTAGGGGACAAATACTGAACTTTCAGTAACATTAATGGACATTTGGCTTGTTCTTCCCTTTTTTTTGAGACAGAGCCTCAAGCTGTCCCCCTGGGTAGAGTGCTGTGGCATCACAGCTCACAGCAACCTCCAGCTCCTGGGCTCAAGCGAGTCTCCTGCCTCCGCCTCCCAAGTAGCTGGGACCACAGGCGCCCGCCACAACGCCCGGCTGTTTTTTGGTTGCAGCCGTCATTGTCGTTTGGGGGCCCGGGCTGGATTCGAACCCGCCACCTTAAGTGTATGTGGCTGGCACCTTAGCCACTTGAGCCACAGGCACCGAGCCATGTTTTCATTTCTTAGTGGTGCCCATAAAGTTTGTGTGCAATTTAAAATAGTTGACTAATTTAATTTGCATATGAACTTTATGGACACCCACTATATCTAAGAGTAGAATTGCTAGGGCCTGTGGCGATGCTATGTTTAATCATTTGAGAGCTGGCAGACTATTTACCAAGTAGCTATACTATTTTACATTTTCTACCAGCAGCATCTGAGGGTTCCAGTTTCTCTACATACTTGCCTCTTTTTTTCTTTGCAGGTTTTTTGGCTGGGGCATGGTTTGAACCTGCTGCCACCTATAGCATATGGGGCCGGCGCCCTACTCCTTTGAGCCAATTTTTATGTCACTTTTACTATAACCATCCTAGTGGATGTGAAATTGTATCTCTGTGGTTTTGATTTGCGTATCCCTGATGGCTAATGACTTTGAACATCTTTTTCACATGCTTATTGACAATTTATATATCTTTTTTGGAGAAACATCTGTTCATATCTTTTGCCCACTTAAAAATCGGGGTTTTCTTTTTTTTTTCCTTCTTTTTTTTTTGAGAGACTCTTACTATGTTGCCCTCAGTAGAGTGCCATGGGGTCACAGGTCACAGCAACCTCAAACTCTTGGGCTTAAGTGATTCTCTTGCCTCGGCCTCCCAAGTAGCAGGGACTACAGGTGCCCGCCACAACGCCCGGCTATTTTTTTTGTTGCAGTTGTCATTGTTGTTGAGCAGGCCCAGGCAGGGTTGAACCCTCTAGCCCTGGTGTATGTGGCCGGCACCATAACCACTAAACTACAAGCGCCAAGCTGAAAAATTAGGGTTTTTTGGTTATTGAATTGTTTTGGATCCTAGGCACATATCAGGTGTATGATTAACAAACATTTTCTTTTTTCCTGTGGGTTTTCTTTTCACTGCCTGGGTGTCCTTTCTCTTCATGCCTCGCTCTGGTCTCCTCACCTTCCTGTTTTCTAAGGTGTGCTCTCTGGCCTCCAAATCCAGTAGTTCTCTTAGCTTGAATGTCTAGCAGCATTTTACACCTGACAGCTCTCTCCTTGAACTTCCTCCCTGAACCTGTCCTTCTCCCTCCCTAATTGCCCTTTCTGGTATTTTCCCACCATTTTTACTTCCTTCAGCTGGAAGATACTCATTTCCCACAGATCCTTCAGCTCTTACTCTTCACCTGGTGCCTTATCAGTTCAAATTATCTATCTGCAAATGAGACTCTAACCTTTACCCTCCATTCCTGATTTCTTTTCCAAATAGTGGCTTATTCAAGCTGAGAGGGCTGATTAAGAAAATAAAACAAAACACACTTGCCTAGTCCCTTTTTCTTTGTTGCCTTCTGCTTCTTCCAATTTAGCATGTTTGGAATTACATTTATTTTTTTACCATTTCTCCTCCGTCCACTTCCCTCATCTGTATACTTCTGTCTCTCTGACCTTGGCTCAAGGGCTCATTATCTCTCGGTTAATCTTGCTGTACTGCCCCAGAATACAAAGCAAACCAAAGCAAATTAGCTTGTTTATTGTCTCTCTCTCTTTTTTGTACACAGCAGCTTACATCTACAGGGATATTTCTCTCTTAAGATTTTTTGTTTGTTTTTTGAGGCAGGGTCTCACTTTGTTATCCTTGCTAGGGTAGAGTGGCACAATTATTATGATCATAGCTCGTTTCTACCTCAAATTCCGGGGCTCAAGAGATCCTCCTACCTCAGCTACCCAAGCAGCTGGGACTACAGGTACTTGTTACCACGCCCGGCTAAATTTTTAAAGTTTTTCTGGAGATAGGATCTCAGTGTGTTACCCAGCTTGATCTAGAATTCCTGGCCTAAAGTGACCTCCTGCTTCCCTATCCCAAAGTACCAGGATCCTTAACACAAACTACCACTCTCAGTCCTTAAAGTGGTATTAATCCTACTCTCCTTCCTGTTGCCTGCCTCTTCCCCTTCCAGTCCTCCTTGGAATCCAAATGAGCCACCCCAACGCGCAGTCCTAATCCTTATGCCCTTTTATGCTTAATCTGTGGCTCATGTATTACCTGTCGGATTTGTAGGCATGTTTTAGCCTGGCATTCCCTGCCCTCATTATGCCCTGAACTTTCTCATGTGGATGGAAAAGAAGCCATACTCTATAAAATATTTAAAGAGGTTTATTCTGAACCAAATTTGAGGACTAAGACCTAGAGCTACCCCCAAGAAGCCATGAGCAAGTGGGCTTGTGGTGGTGGTGGTGGGGTTATGGTTTGGTTTTATATATTTTAGGGAGACAGGAACTACAGGGAAAGTAATAAATCACTATGTGGAAGGTGTACATTGGTTTGGCCCCAAAGGGTGGGATATCTTAAAGTGGGGCTTACAGGGTATAGATGTGTTCGGCTGACAATTGGCTGAAAGAAGTAGGCTCTGTCTAATAGACCAGGAGTCAGCAAAAAGGAATGCTGAGTTGAGATAAGGCTCTGTTAATCAGACACACTACAGGATATATGGCCAGACTCAAGTGTTTGTTGTGTATATTGATGACCTGCAGGTAGGTCTCTCATAGCCTTAGGCCTGTTAATGAGTCCCAAGAATGTCTCTAAGAAGGGAGGGGGAGGGGACACCATGAGGCTTGTCTGATCTCCTTTCTCATGTTTTAGGGATCCCGTTGGCCAAGAGGGCGTCCAGTCACTCACGGTGGGGGTGGGAGCCTTAAGATTTTATTTCAGGGGTGACACCTGTGGCTCAAGGAGTAGGGTGCCAGCCCCATATACCGGGGATGGTGGGTTCAAACCCAGCCCTGGCCAAAAACTGAAAAAAAAAAAAAAAAAAAAAAGATTTTATTTCAGTTCATACTGGCTTCATCTCCTGCTGGCTTCTCTGCTTGGGTCCCCGTCTGTTTTTCATCCTATCTTTACTGCCTTTCTTTGTTCTGGTACTTTCCTGCTCTGGTCCATGTCTATTGAAACTGTTCTTATCCTTCAGGGTCCAAGTCACGTGATAATTTTTCCATGAAGCTTTCCTACTGAGGCCTTTAGACAGAAGTAATACTCCTTTCTCTGAACTCCTATGACATCCTATATCTCAGTTTATGTCACTTAATTATTTTTGCCTTTGTTATTTTTTAAATATATTTGCTTACCTTCAAAAAATAATACATACTCAGCTCCGTGCCCATAGCACAGTGGTTACAGCACTGGTCACATACACCGAGGCTGGTGGGTTCGAACCCACCCGGGCCAGCTAAACATCAATGACAACTGCAACAACAACAAAAATAGCTGGGTGTTGTGGCAGGCGCCTGTAGTCCCAGCTACTTGGGAGGCTGAGGCAAGAGAATCGCTTAAGCCCAAGAGTCTGAGGTTGCTGTGATTCCACGGCACTCTACCGAGGGTGACGTAATGAGACTCTGTCTCAAAAAAAAATAATAATAATAATTCATACTCATTTATTCAAGTGCAAAAGAATATGGAAACAAAAGTAAGTGTCTTTCCGACCCCTTTCCAGATACTGTCACTGTAACTGGTGCCGTGTGTTTCCATAGGGATCCTGCCATGTGTGTGTTCAGCTTCCTTGGAGACATGTGTCTTAATTTCTGTGCTTCCCACAGGAATTACAACACTGTGTGCACATTTGTTCACTCAGACAATACTTACTGCCTTCCTACTATGTGCCGGGGACTGTGCTAAGCGTTGGAGACACAGCAGAGAGCCACCATAGATACGATGTTCAGTGTAAAAGACAAACGTTAGGTCAGGTACTAGTGGTTCCAGTGGTTCTCGCCTGTCACCCTAACACTCTGGGAGGCTGGGGTGGGTGGTTGCTTGAACTCAGGAGTTCAGGACTGATCTGACCAAGAGTGAGACTGTGTCTCTACTGGAAAAAAAAAAAAAAAGAAAGAAAGAAAAAATTGAGATAAACTAGCTGGGCATTGTGGGAGGTGCTTGTAGTCTCCGCTGCATGGGAGGCTAAGGCAAGAGGATTGCTTAAGTCCAAAAACTTGAAGTTGTTGTGAGCTATGATGATGCCAGGGCACTCAACCCAGGGCCACAGAGTGAGACTCTGTCTAAAAAAGTTTTACAAAATATTCTCTACCTGATGGCCACCTCTTTGTAGAATTTCATAATGAATCTTTTATAAATAAAGATACATTTACGTACAAATTTTCATTTTCCTCCTGGATGGTAACTTTGGGACACCCTGTACATTAAAGTGAAAGAATGTATAGGCTAGATGTAGTGGCTCACACCTGTAATCCTAGGACTGCGGGAGGTCAAGGTGGGAGGATCACTTCAGCTCAGGAGTTTGAGACCAGCCTGATTAAAAGCAAGAACTTGTCTCCACCAAAAATATAAAAAAATTAGCTGGGCATGGTGGTGTGTGCTCAACTACTCAGGAGGCTGAAGTGGAGGATCGCTGGAGCCCAGGCGTGTGAGGTTGCAGTGAGCTATGATGATGCCACTCACTGTACTCAGTTCTCCGGAGCTCAAGCAGTCCACTCACTTCAGCCTCCCAGAGTGCTAGGGTTATAGGCGTGAGCCACTGCACTCAGCCAGACCTATTTATTATTTAATACCCTGTCATTTCTAGTTTCTCTAAGTCACAAGCAAGCCCACATTACCAAATTCAATGGACACTTAGCTGTCTTTGTTTTGATCAGCCACTCAGTAAAATTTGGCATAGCTGACTCTTGTATTCAAAGTCTCCTCTGTGTGATTAGTGACAGCCCTGCTCCTACTATTCCTCCTGTCTCAATAAATAACTCCATGTGGTCCCCTTTTTGGCTCTTTCTTCTTCCCCTAACCTCTAAATGCTAGTCTTAGATCCTCTGTCAAGATGACCAGCCCCATTCCATGGCTTTAAATATCGCCTGTATTCCCCAACCTTCCAGCTTCTCGTCAACTCTAACCAACTCCCTAAGCTCGAGATTTCTGTGTCCAGCAGGCATCCTGATATGGGCATATTCCATGGACTTCCCAAATATAATGTGTCTAGCACACTTCTCTTAGCTTTCCCCCCAAAGCCTATTTCTTTTATTTTTTTTTAGAGACAGTCTCACTCTGTCGCCCCTAGTAGAGTACTGTGGCGTCCAGCTCTTGGGCCCAGGCGATTCTCCTGCCTTAGCCTCCCAAGTAGCTGGGACTACAGGCACCTGCCACAACACCTGGCTATTTTCTTGCTGCAGTTTGGCCAAGGCTGGGTTTGAACCCACCACCCTCAGTATATGGGGCTGGCACCCTACTCACTGAGCCACAGGCACCGCCCCCAAACGCCTATTTCTTTAATCTCTCCATTGCTCAATTTAAAAAACTTCGTTCCAGATTTCGTACAGTGAAGCCTACAGTTGTGTTGCCAAGGCCTTGTGTGATCTGTCTTCTCCCTTCCGACTTTCCCTTGGCCTTTGCCATTCTTGCCATGTTCACGAGCTGCTGCCTCGGGACCTCTCATTATTTCTCACGTAGCCAGTTCATTTTCACCAGGGAAGAGAAACAGAGGTGTAGAACTTAATTCACAGGCTGTGGTTTGCACAGCATCCTGGACGGTGGCACTGTCAGGCAAGGCTGGGTATACTGAAAACAAAACAAAGCAGAACCTCGCCATAGGGAACAAAGAAAAAGGTGGGTCTTAGACACCTGGAGTGCCAGGTCTCAGTGGGGATGTTACCTGGGCAGTTAACTGGAAGGCAGCTTTTCTTTTCTTTTTTCACATGCATGCTAAAATAGGTGCTAAAATGAAACAAAGATGTGGTATATAATAGACATTGTCTTTGAAATTTTGTATTTCTAAGTTTAAGCAATTCTGCCTTAAGAGGAGAAAAAGCCGTTGGCCCAGAAAAACCTTCAAATCGTGGTTGTGTATAGGCCAGTGGCAACACTATAGAATACAAAAAATTTAGTTCAGATCTTTTTGTTTTTCTTTACAGGAGACTTAATGGAGAATTTAGTTCCTCATCCTGAATTCAAGATGCTGAGTGTCCGTAACATTCCTCAGATGTCTGAGAATTCACTGGCATATAGCACGTTTACTTGGGCTGGCCTCCTCAAGCATTTGAGACAGATGCTCATTTCTCATGCAAAGATGGAAGAAGGTAAAGGATATTTTTAAAATATGCAGCCCACAGTCTGGGAAAAGTGCCTGTCCTGGAGCTTTCAAATATAAACCAGCTTGGACCAGTTGAAATAATGGTTCCTTCTTCTGGCCTGGGAGGCTCCTACAGAAACTCAGCAGGACATCCCAGAGGGCTTCTTACTCATTTCACAGTTTTATTACCAAAAAATATTTCAGATGAATGCCATATGAAAAACAATTTTATTACTGGCTCAGCACCTGTAGCTCAGTGGTTAGGGCACTGACCACATACGCCGGGGCTGGCATGTTCGAACCTGGCCCAGGCCTACTAAACAACAGTGACAACTACAACAACAACAAGAACAACAAAAAATAGCTGGGCTTTGTGATGGGCGCCTATAGCCCCAGCTGCTCAGGAGACTGAGACGGGAGAATTGCTTAAGCCCAAGAATTTAAGGTTGTGTGAGCTGTGACGCCACTGTGCTCTACCCAGGATGACAGCTTGAGACTCTGTCTCAAAAAAAAAAAAATGCCTGGGCAGTACCTGTGGCTCAGTGGGTAGGGCGCTAACGCCATGTACTGAGGGTGGCAGGTTTGAAACCAGCCCTGGCCAAACTGCAACAACAACAACAAAATAGTTGGGCTTTGTGGTGGGCGCCTGTAGTCCCAGCTGTTCAGGAGGCTGAGGCAAGAGAATTGCCTAAGCCCAGGAGTTAGAGGTTGACGCGGGTTGTGACACCATGGCACTCTATCGAGGGCGATAAAGTGAGACTCTGTCTCTTAAAAAAAAAAGTCTGGCCTACCTCCAAGACCTCAACTGCAGGCATAAGTTTTAGCTTTTCTGGCTATTTAGTCAGTAACAGTGGTTCATTTGCTTTCTAACTTCCAAAACTTTGTTCTCCTTATCGTCTTTCCTGTTCCCTGTCTTGTGTATGCCTTTTATGAAATCCCTTTGTTAGGCCGAGCATAGTGGCTTATGATTGTAATCCTAAGGAGTTGAAGATCAGCGTGAGCAAGAGTGGGACCCCGGCCCTAAAAATAGCCTGGCGTTGTGGTAGGCACCTGTAGTCCCAGCTACTTAGGAGGCTGAGGTAAGAGGATCACTTGAGGGCAAGAGTTTGAGGTTACTAAAAAAAAAAAAAAGGGTTTGAGGTTGCTGTGAGCTATGACACCATGGGACTCTTTCTACCCAAGGCAACAGAATGAAACTGTCTCAATGAAAGAAATAAAGTAACTGTGCCAGATACCTATAGTCCCTGCTATTCAGGAGGCTGAGATAAGAGGATCGCTTGAGCCCAGGAGCCTGAGGTTGCTACCATTGCACTCTACCTAGGGTGACAAAGTAATACTGTCTCAAAAAAAGAGAACTCTTTATTGCCTTAGCGAGATTTGGGAAGAGAATGGCGGTAAACTGGTATGTTCAGTCTGTCCTGTTTAACTAGAAATCACTACTCTGTATTATGTTAGTAGCATATATTATCCAACAAATTAAAATAACTTAGGTTTCAATGCTGTGAAAGTGGATTTTCTCAATATTTACTTATAATATTGTACTGGTTTTAGATTGTAATGCCAGAGACTGGAAGATAAAAGAAAGTTTACATCTTAAAGTAGTGCTTCCCAATTTTTTTGGCCACAGTACCTGTTTTTCTAGAAATACTTGTTAATATCTTAAGGAACACACTGTTCCTCAGGGTAGTGTGAGACATGCTGCTCTGAGCACACTTAGGTACAGAAACCACAGTTTGCTGAGTTATTTTCTCATGCAGAACTTTAGGGCATCAGCATTTTTCACAGTTACAGAGTTTGAATGTATATATGTTTCCTTTCTTTTTTTGTTAAGCAGGCTCGGGTGGGGTTTGAACCCGCCACCTCTGGTGCACAGGACTGACGCTCTAACCACTGAGCTATGGGTGCTCAGCCATGTGTAAATATCTTCATATACATATGAATATATATGAATGAGTTTTATTTATGCCACAAACCAGGATCTAGTTTTATGACTGCTCCTGTTATCAGATTGTTTTACTTTTATAAAGATAGACCGTATTTCTGTCACTCTCAGCAATGTATCTGTTTCCACGTGTTCAGCAACAGGAGGGATGAGTAATCCAGCAGGGAGCAAGGCAGAAGTTAGTGCGTTCTGTGACCTAGCTGTCGTACGCTGTCATTTCTGCACTATCCTTTTGGTTATTAAAGTTGGCCCTCTCCAGTGCGGGAGCATGTTGCCCAAGGACTGAAAGGGGTCCTCTTGGAGGCTGACTTTCTGCCCTCTGCCATCTCTCCCTAATGAATCTTGTTTTTCCACATGTAGAATAAACTCTTCCTCTCCCAGGGCTCCCAGATATTAGATCCCATTAGCACACCATCCTCTAGTCCAGAATCTTGTTTTCTTTTTTTTTAAATTTTTTTGTAGAGACAGAGTCTCACTTTACCGCCCTTGGTAGAGTGCTGTAGTGTCACACAGTTCAAAGCAACCTCTAACTCCTGGGCTTAGGCGATTCTCTTGCATCAGCCTTCCTAGTAGCTGGGACTATAGGCTCCCGCCTGGCTATTTTTTTGTTGCAGTTTGGCCGGGGCTGGGTTTGAACCTGTCACCCTTGGTATGTGGGGCCCGCGCCCTACCCACTGAGCCACAAGCGCTGCCCCAGAATCTTGTTTTCTAAAAGTAGTGTGGATTTATACTCCTCAGTTGATATTTCTTAAGTACAGTTCCTTGACTTTTGTTTTTATTTATTTATTTTATTTATTTTTTGGAAACAGAGTCTTATAATGTTGCCCTCGGTAGAGTACCATGGTGTCCCAGTTCACAGCAACCTCAAACTCTTAGGCTTCAGTGATCCTCTTGCCTCAGTTTTTCTTTTCTTCTCTTTTTTTTTTGACAGAGTCTTACTATGTCACCCTCGATAGAGTGCTATTGCGTCATAGCTCACAGCAACCTCCAACTCTTGGGCTTAAGCGATTCTCTTGCCTCAGCCTCCTAAGCAGCTCGGACAAGTGCCTGCCACAATGCCCAGCTATTTTTCTGTTGAGTTGTCATTGTTGCTTAGCTGGCCTAGGCAAGGTGCGAACCTGCCAGCCTTGGTGTATGTGGCTGATGCCCTAACCACTATGCTGTGGGTGCAAGCCTTAGTTTTTCTATTTTAGTATAGATGGGGTCTTGCTTTTGCTCAGGCTGGTCTCAAACTTGTGAGCTCAAGCTATCCACTCGCCTTGGCCTCCCAGAGTGCTAGGATTACAGATGTGAGCCACCACTCTCGGCCATAGTTCCTTGACTTTTTTGTACATACTCTGGTGGAACAGGCATGGGACAACTGGTAGACACTCCTTCTGAAGAGAAGAGGAAAATGTCAAGACTTGGTGGCTCATACCTATAATCCTAGCACTCTGGGAGGCTGAGGCAGGTGGACTGCCTGAGCTCAGGACTAGCCTGAGCAAAAGAGACCCCACCTCTTAAAAAAAAAAATAGGC